ATTTTGAAAAGCGTAGGAGAGATACAACATCCTTGACGTAATCCTTTATTCACTATGAATGTGTGTGAGTTTTTTACCTATATTAATTCTTGATTGTGACTTTTTATATAATTCTTTAAGTTATATAGGTGTGTTTTATGTTGAATTGTAATAACTTCCATAGTCTGGACATTGAGACTGTATCGTACGCTTTTTGTAAGTCCACAAATTTGAGGTAGGTTTAGCAGATCTCTTTTCTACGACTTCTTTTACGCAAAATACGTTGTCTGTACCTGATCTTCCTGCTCTAAAGCCACACTATCCTTCTTCTTCTTTGTTTTCATAATCTTCATCAATGAGATCACTCAGGATTCTACCGTATAGTCTGCTTAGTGTGCTTGTGAATGACATGCCCCGATAGTTATTGCAGTCGAGCTTATTTTCTTTTTTGTGAATGGATGATATAAAAGCCGTTTCCCAGTCTTCTGGAACAGGATGTCCATTCAGGCATTTATTGATAATACATGTGAGAACTTTAAAAAGCTTCTCAGTTCCCCATTTTCGTGGTATATCCCTTCTCGGCCGCCTGACTTCCAGATTCTTAACAGTCTTTTTTACTGCTTCTTCAAATATCTCAACTACCTACTTCGCCATGTACCTACTTCAATATGTCTTAGAGAATCTAATGTATATTCCGGTCTACTTTCTTGTAATAGACCCTTGTAGTGTTCTATCCCTTGCTCTGGTTTGAATACGTGGATATTAGCTTTGTCCTTTCCTAGGTTTTTGATATTCGATATAAATCTCTATACCTCTAAGCAATTCCTTTCTCCTATGTAGGTGTTAATTTCTTCACATCCCATGACTCGTTCCTAGCTGTCTTTTTGCTCCTTCTCTTGGACTAATAGCTCTGTTTCTGCTCCAGCAGTATTTCTTGTTGGTATTTTTATTCTTCGTTCCTATTGCTTCTTGCGTGGCCCTTATTAGAATCCTTATAATATTCTCATAGAGTATTTCTAGTTTTTAAATACTTCATAAACACCATACCACCCGTCAATGAGCCAAAGCTTTGAATGAATTTATGTTTCACCAGGTTAAAAATTACAGTTTCGCATCTGGTGCGAATCAATCTGGGTCCCAACTAAAAATTACACCCACTTCAAATCCCTGACTGAAAAGAGTCATAAAATTAAAACCCGTCACGATGATATACGCCCGATAATAATGACTTACGGCTTAAAAAGGTAGACTTGATGGTACCCACCTGTCTTGATGGTAACTGGTAAAAAAGTCTTACGGATGGCAGATAGAGGGAATTAAACCGCCCGAGAGATAAGGTATTAAAAATCGAATTTATACGGTTCTTGATTAGCCTCTAGTTGGACAGGTGTAAGAAAAGTACGTATTGTAAGTACTTGTGGGTGGGTTTTTTTCCACTGTATGTACAATAGCGTAGTTTATAAGTAACTTTTGAAAAATCATACAGAATGTTTCAATGAGCAGAAATTTTGCGGATAGCCAATCAGACCATCTGAATTTAAAATATTCTGACGATTCCTTCTAAAGTCTCCGGTTTTATTTAAGGTCATCCAGCTTGGAAACACGAGAAAAATATTAGTTTAAGGCCCCGTTTATTCACTCTCTCATAAACTGCCAGGTATGCAATCTGACAGATAAAATCGGAATCTATAATCTTATTGGTCGGCGGATAACTGATAACTGATGACGTCAGATTGCATATGGGTGTGAGATGTTATCAAAGACATCCTCTATATCCATAAAAGCTGCAAGAGCGATTCCTCTAGTGCCTTTTCTATGATTGTTGTAAAAACTTGTTATGAATTTATCTGCTTGGTAGGCAAATTTTCTTGGATAAAGCGGTGTCCTATTTGGAATTTCTCTTCTAATATATTGGTCTATTGCTTCCTCCATGGATTTAAGGAGAAAGGATGTTAGGCTAATGGGTCGATAGGAATTTGGTTCATCTTCTGGCCGGCGTCCTGCCTTGGTATGAATGTCACGCCAACCTCACTTCAGGCTAGTGGAACGTAACCCAGTGTGACACCAGATTTGAATATCTTTGTGGTTACAGTAATCTCTGTTTGGCTTTTTCAGAAAACCAATACCATTCGAGTGTTTTTTCAACAGGATTTCTTGTAGACCCTTTCATTTATCCCTTCGCAGAAATGTCACCAGGTTCTTCTTTTGCATTTTCTCAAGGCTTTGTTGTACTCTGTTAGGGCTGTCTTGTACCAAATATATACGTAAGAACATAATTCCTCAAAGCTAAAATTGAAGATTCTCTACGTAGCGCCACTGTCCTTAAACGATTAACCCTACATGCATTTAGCGTTATCAAAAACACGAGTAAAGGTGTACTTTCAAGTGTACCATCGAAATAAGGAACAATTATTCTTCTTACCATATGGTTTTAAAGGCCCCTGATGTATGGTCCGATGGTATAATGTATAAAAAGGGGTCCAATTTTTTTTTTTAATTTCAATTGAAGAACGGACGTTTACCTATCGTTCCATGGAGCATCAGCTGTCTGATATAGATTTTTTTTCTTGTTTTTAATCGCTCGTTAACGGGCAGGCGGTTACGGTTGTTTCGATAAATCATTGCGAAAAAAAGAGGAGTAGGATTTTTTTATTTGGAATTGAATATTTCACATGCTACTGGAGTTCATTAGTAGATCTGTTAATAATGTGTTGGATAAGAACATTTATTTTGTGGTTCACTTACAAAACATTTATTTTCCCTCTATATTTCTTCTTATTGTTGAGCCATTCGTTTTTCTGCAAATCAATGTGTTTCTACTGCGAAACTGTAGATTCTGCAGAGTGTTATTGAAACAAAAAAATTAAAACTATATTTAAAAAGAAACTGTAAACAATCCAGATGGAAAAGAGAAACTTACCTTGATGACAATACCAATAAACCAATTTTCCACGGTTCTTGTTCCATCCCACTTACACCCTCACAAACCACATAACCCTTTCGAAGTCATTTACCTTGAAAAAAAAATATTTTTTTTTGCTTCTTTTAATCGTACTATAGTTAATAATACGATGGATGATGACCCCCTTTATTCTATTTATTGAGGCAGATGTTTTCTCCTCTCCTCTATTCGAAAAACAAGGGGGATTTGGGTTTCAATGTCTATAGTTTGCGTTGACCATATGCATACATTAATTTAAAGAATAAAGAAAAAAACTACCATTTTCAGATAGCCGTGAACTCTCTGTTGGGTACTTTTTTTTTGTCTGAATCATCAATAAAGGGTTTACGTCACAGATAAGTGAGTATTTGGGTTAAAAGGTATATTACAAGAACATCTGGGAGAAACCATTAGGTAGGTACCTACTTAACTGTTTCTCACTCGTCACAGTTTTCATTATTCTTTGATTAAAATAGTTGTTATATTATTCAACACCCTATTGAGAGCTATTCACGTTAGTTCGTAATGACAACATGCAAAACATTTTACGATAATTTTGAAAATTTAGGTACAACCAGAAATGGTTGCTTCTTCTTTTTAAGCCTGTTATCCAGAATAATCCTGCGGATTGTTTGAGGTCGTGGATCTATTTCATTCGTGATCTGCCCCTTGATCTGTAGTTTATCTATCTTGTAAAGTATCCTGCAATAATCCATTGTAGGAGAGTCACTTTTGATGCTCTGTCCTTGAACCTAGTTCTTTTTCAAGTATTTTTCCTCTCTCAGCAATATCGGCTCCATGCCCTTTAAGGCTTTAGGTCTCCGTTAGATTGACAACTGTACGTGTTCTTTGTGTAAATCCAACTCTTCCTAGAAATCATATTTGAAACTTGACTCTCGAAAAACATGGCGAATCCAAAATTGTAGGATTGAACATCTCCAAGACTTTTGATGAGGTCCGCACAAAGGTCTCCTCAACAAGCATCCGAAAGAATTTTGACATTGGCTGGGGAGCTTTTTGGAAGGTAGGTCACTGCATGTTGAGGTCGATGGTGTGTCTTCTGATACACTGCCCATAAATGCCGGCTTTCCCAAAGGCTCAATTCTGTTGACAATAAAACCCATATACAGCTTTGCAGACAATAGTGATTTGGGCTCCTCTTCTGATTGAAATAGAGTTAGTGTTGGTTCTCAAGAAGCTAGATACTTCAACAAACTGGAATGTTGTCATCGATTATCGTAAGCTCAATTAGCCTATTGTAGGAGACAAATATTCTCTCTCAAATATATCCGACCTTCTAGACCAATTAGGATAGGGTCAGTACTTCACCACACTTGACTTAGCTTCAGAATTTCATCGAATTGAAATAGACTCTGCAGACCTTCCCAAAACTGCTTTTATAGTAGAAAATGGTCATCGCGAGTTTGTCCGTATTCCATTTGGTCTCAAAAACGCTACCGCAACGTTTCAGCGAGTCATGTTATGACATTTCGGTTAATGTTACGATTAAACTGTCAACTCGAGGATATTTGGGATAAAAGCGAGATAAAACAGAAGCTTCTGATATTAGTCCATTTAGGTCGGTAATTGCCTCCTCGATTTCAAATTCCTCCATATCTGCTTCATCTTCGGAGTCGATATTTCCTATTTTTCGTTGGTTATTGATTATTATATATTCACGTCGGGATCAAAGTTAACAAAAAAAATTTTCACCACCCTGTGAAAAGAATTTCCATAACTAACTCCATTAGGTGTATCATGAATCCGCGACAAAAGTTCCTTTATCAATAGAGAGGTATAGAAATATTACGGGTTGTTCACTGCAAATTAGGAATAGTTCTATTGGATTGGAAATTCACTTTTTGAGGATTTGAATCATATATTGGAGATAAGCCCTTCGGGCATGCCACAGGTCCTAGACCAGTTAGTTGACGTCTCAAAAAAAAAACCGTGGTGAGAGTTAGTTAGGTACTCGAAATGGCTCTAACATAATTTTTCCTTGGGATCTAGACATAAAATATTTTGAATTGCAACAAAAAATCTAAAAATCTCCTATTTAACATTGTTTATTCCGTTTCAGGCGAACGTCCTTACAAGTGCCATCTACCCGACTGCGGCCGGGCCTTTATCCAGTTGTCGAATTTGCAACAGCACCTGCGCAACCACGACGCGCAGGTGGAGCGTGCGAAAAACCGACCTTTCCACTGCAACATCTGCGGTAAAGGCTTCGCCACTGAGTCCAGCCTGCGCACGCACACGTCCAAAGTAAGCCATGTACGTATGACACTTGGTTATTTTTTGTTTTTTTATTACAACTTCTCAGTAACTAACGCTGTGTTTATAATGATTTTAATTGGAATTAGTATCATTTGGCATAATAATTGTAAACAAAGTTTTAGTTACTGCGTTATTATTGTTTTATAGGTTTTGATTGGTTCAAAAAAAAAAAAACTATTCCTTAATTTATATTTATTATCGTTATTTTAATTTAAACACTGTGTGACATTATTTTTACATTTATGTTCCTTTATAATTTGTTATTATTTTGTTTCAGTTTAATTTGTTTTATTTATTTCAGATTTTTTTAAGTGTACACTCTGTTGCTTGCCTTAGAAAATTCCCTTCCGCCCAAAAAATATGTTAACAAAGTGTTGAAACGACGTTTTGTACCTGTCAGGTATCTTATCTGAACATCTCCGATCTGGTATTATAATTTTTTTTCGGCTGGCATAATTATTTTAATATTATGGACACCCCGATTTTGTTGATTTTTGTGTTGTGATAACTATCTGTGTGGAGAAAGGTGGATAATTTTGTGTAAGATGCGTAGAACAGGTGGAAGATATTTTTGGCAATAATTTTTTATAGGCTAGACAATTTTTTTTAGATTAGCATTTGAAACATCGTAATAATTTGCATAAAATACTGAAAGAAATACTCAAGGTACTTAGAATAATTACCCAATATGAAAAAATGTGTAATAAATTTCACACTAACAGATCCTGGCATGAAAAAGTGATCATCGCGGTCCCTAATCAAGATTAAAACTTCGAAAAATCCCCAAACGAAAAATTAGTAATTATCCAAAAACCAGCAAGTGATGCCCACAAATCATCAGGATCATCATTCCTTCAACCCTTTTGAGCTAATACTTTTTAAGTAGCCTGGGAGAGTTTTACCAACAAAAATTTAGAGTATATTTACTACAAAACACCATTCAATCAAAATTGGATAATTGATAATAGAAAGATCTTGATATATTATGATGACCATTGTCATTGTGAGCATAAGCAGAATTGGGAGGATTTGCTATATTTACCGAGGAATAATGGAGGTCAATGTTGTGCCTATTTTTTAGCAACATCATCGGTGAGATCCAAGAACTTAGGCATGACTTTACAAACCTTGTCTTATCTTTGACTTTGTTAACTTTAAGACAAAAAAGTCTAGTAGTATTATGTAAGGAAAACGAGGCGTTTAAATCTATCTACCCTGAAAATGCTTCGTCCAAGTAGAAAAGCAAAAGTGTCTTTTACCACATCCCTAGTTATCGTTCCAAAAGCTCATGAAGCATATCCATCTAACTTTCATCGTTAGGTAGAACACACATTTTCCATGGCTTTCCATTCTCAATAACTTCTTTTAACGAGTCAAAACGTACGAGGATCTGATTTTCTGAATTTTCAAAAGCAAATGGTTAGTGATTAAAGAAAAATGTCAAGGGCCTTTTTTAAAACTGTAAATATATTTTCCTGCTTACAAGCCTAAGATACAAGATAATAACAAGGACAAACTATAATTAAAATAATACTGTAACAATTAATTATTATCTAAGTTCACTCTGATAAGTGATAAGTGACGCAAAATAGTACGGAGAGTCCTATTTTCTTCTCTATTCTTTTTACAAGAATTAACTGTGAGTATTTAAACTTACAAAAACTCAAGGATTAAAATTAAGGTATCTCAGTGTTAATTTAGGTTAAGGTCGTGACGAAAACTCCCCATTTTTAATCCAGCAACCACCTAAATGTCAGTAAAGGGTTGGAAAAAAGGGGGGGCCGAAAAGAAATCGTTTCGGCACCCGAAACGCCCGGCATCAGGTGCGACTTTAATCGAAAAATCTCGTCGTAATCCTTTAATTATTTTCTTAAATATTCAAAAGTTTGCAAAAGAGGAGAAAGTGAGATCCGAAACCGCCCGCGATGGGAATTATAAGACTTTACGAAAAACTTTAAATCCGCATCTGTAAGTAGGTACTATCATTATATCGCTAGCTGATAATATGAGGTCAATAAAATACATTGGCTGGTGTGTGTATGACAAACACAAACGATTATTATGTTAAAACGTTTAGCAAATAAAATTGGCCCGACCCTGAGTACGGACCTTGAGCCGCCTGGATTTTTTCATTTTTCAATATCTTTGAGCGCAAAATAAATTATTAATGCCAATTGGTATGAGTCAATAGCCAATGCTGATGATGCAGAATCGTTTCTTTTGCATTTTTTTTCGACCACGTCATCGGGAGGATTTTAAACAGTTATTTGTTGCGTTTTCTCATCAACAATATTTTTTGAGCAAATACCTTGTTCTAATTGGTTAAATAGTTGGGGAGAGGAAGGGAATGGTACGCACCTCTAAGCAATATTATTTATAAATCAGACATTTTAATAACTGAAAAGTACAGCTTTGTTACAGTTGTTCACTTATATGTTCCCTTCAACATAGCTTTCTCAAAGCTGTTTTTCGAAATAGCTAAATCCAAGTTTTGTGGTTTGCGTATTATTACCCTTCATGGTGGATAATGGTACGCACTTTGTCAGGTAATGATACACGATGATATCCAAAATAAAGAAAAATAAACTTATACATATTCAAAACTATCAATAACGAAAACATTAAGCATATTTTGGAACAAGTTTTCCGGAATCCAGAACCTAAACTAAAATTTGGCCTTTTCACAGAAGATTTTGTACAGCAAAAGTCACATCTATAATCAGTGGCAGAATACTATCCATTGCATTCGGCATGTTCCCGCTGTCCGCAACATCTATACCAAATTTCTCTATCTTCACCAAAATCTTCGCACACCAAGCATTGTTTATTCTCGTTTGAATCCTCATCGATGTTGACTACGTCATCCACTTCAACATCAACAACAAGATCTTTCTCGGTAATTTTATCGTCCTCGGATGAAGTATCAGAGTCTAATTCCTAATATGGAAATATTTCTTTTATTTTTTGGTTTTTTGGATACTGCAACTTTCGCTTTATTATTTTCATTCTTACCCTCTATAGCAGAATGAATTTTATTTTTATTTTGTTGCTTTTCTTCCAAAACTAATTTCATTGGTGTGGCCGTTAATATCTCTGACTTCCTCTTGACACCTTCTTTTGTTTTTCCTTTCGCAAAATATGACGGCAATGGTGACAATTCTGCAATGCTAACCTTTTCTTTTGCAAGAGCACTTATCTTTGATTTTCTTTTGGGAGTTATGGCTGGACTGTTTGAAGTTGTCGAGCGAGGTATTGAAAGGCCAGATGTTGATGGGCCGGAAGTTGATGGATCAAAAATTGACGGGCCAGAAGTTGACAGGCCAGATATTGGGGGGCCAGAAGTTGACAGGCCAGATGTTGAGGGTCCAGAAGTTGACAGGCCAGATGTTGAGGGTCCAGATGTTGACAGGCCAGATGTTGAGGGGACAGGATCAAACTCATTTCTAGAGTCCAAATGATCAGATACAGTAGGCTGCAGATATTGGCTAGCAGGTTCAGAATCATCTCTTGTGAATTTATCGGGATTGATTGGATGGATAGATCCCTGTTGAGTTGAAACCTGATCTAAATTTTAACGTATACATTGTTAAATATTTCAGCCAAATTTGGGAAAGTTATTTTTTCTTGCTTACCAGTCTTTAAAAAAGTATTCGCACTTCTTATTGAAAGCGCATTTAAATGTTCCAAAAAATGAGATGTCGAGATGCTGCAAGCGGTGGGAGGTATTGACAACATCACTATTATATTATCTTTACAATAATTATAAATCGAAAGAGATATATGACTAATATAATGGTTGTCAAGCAACAGCAAAGCAGCGTTTGAAGGATTTGAATGAACATACAATTTGAAATGCTGTAACCACTGAAAGAAACATTTTTCGTCACTCCAGCCATTAGCTATCGGTACCTGCATAAATACTGGTCCATGTTTCGTCAATGTAGGAGACATTCATTTCCGAAGAAATATAAGAAGCGGTGGAATAAAGCTCCACAGACACACACACACACATTTTTTCCACGCTCCCAGGATATTTTTGTTCCAAACTGTTTAACGTTTTTTGATCCTAGTTACTTAGTAGGCTTCTGAACAGTTGAGATCCCTGTCTCGTCCACGTTAAGGATTTTGCTTGGAGCAAATTTATATTTTTCTAACAAAGTTGTCAGGTTTGAAAAAGAAAATAAAATTAACGGATTCTTAATCAAAAGCAGTTATTCTATTGACACTTGTTCCTTCAGGTTTTCTCAAACTGGTTAAGAAATAATTGCAACCAATTCTTGCTTGCTTCCTGCATTCATGGCGCATGCCATTGGTCTCTGCATTTTGAAAAACCATCGGAGTTAGTCCATGAAACAGTTCAGTTGATTTAAGCATGTGATTTTCATTCTGAGTCTCAGTCTCAGCTGAGAATGAGAATGTAGAAGGCCTTCCTAATCTTGAAATAGATCTGTCATTCTTTTTTCTACGAGCTCTCAGTGTTGAGAGTGTGACCTGGAAACTTCTCGGATTTTTCTGCCAGAATCTAGTGCTTGAAGAGATGTAAAGTCTCCTCAGTTGAACCAGCGACATTCGTTTTTCTCACGTACTTTTTAGGTATCTGAAAACATTCTAATGCCAAGCCGATCTTTAACGATTGCCTAAACGTAGGAGGGAATGCCTATGATTATCCGCTGCGTATGATTCCCCTTCTTTCCTTATAAAATTGAAAAATTTGCCCACAGCCTTTGTCAGTTTTTTGTCAAGCGCACCTGTCTATAATTTTCATCAAAATGGACAATTTATGTTTCTTCTCTATGGATTAACGTCAGGGCTCTGACATCTTCGAGATATATTTTTCCAGGAATTTGTAAGTATGAGTTAAACGTTGTACCGACGTTGTGTCAAGCGACCTGGATTATCATTATCGACTCGGGGAGTAACATACTTCTCGATGTTTTATCTACCTCTTTATTGTGATGCATAAGCTAGCAAAAATGACACACACAAAA